AATGTATGAGTATTCAAGCAACAAAATATTAAATATAAAAATTGCAATACCTATTATAGTAAATAGCTAGATACTTCTTGAAAATTTTAAGCAAATGAAATTATCAAATCCGCTGGTGTTTCAAACAAAATAATTTTAGTAGGCCTATAGCTATTTAAAAAAAAAAAAATTATAAAAAAAAATATTTAAAAATCATCGGACGGTATCTTGATGGCAGAGTGGTGAAAGATGTGTCGCTTCCGGAGAAAGATGTGTCGTTTCCAAACATTTTATTGGATTTCAATCCCCAGCCTATTCCATTAAAAAAATTATTATTATTTTTTGGGGGTCACATTCCACATTAATTTTGGAGAAATATAAAACCCGAGAGGGGGGATTCTTACAACCCGCCCCCCCCCCCTTTCAATCCCCAGACTATTCCATTAAAAAAATTATTATTTTTTTTTGGGGGTCACATTCCACATTAATTTTGGAGAAATATAAAACCCGAGAGGGGGGATTCTTACAACCCGCCCCCCCCCCCAAAAAAAAAAATTCTGTAGATGCACTTTCAAGAAAGCCTATGTTGTTTTTTGTTTTTTTTTACTAGACCGTATTTTAAGAATTATGTAGAATGAACATTAACTTATATTTTTCACTTCTTCTCTTTTAGTAATCAATCATTTAGTGCTGGCGGATGAAGATCTATGATCCGTCCAGAAGATTAAGATGATCCTACAATTATGTGGACACCAAGCGCGAGCCAAGAATTTGACCATTCAAATTTTATAACCACAGAAAACTCAGAGATTCTAGCGCCACCCTCGGGGAAAGGTTATGGCCCTTAGGCCCTGGGGGCTTTTCCAAGAAATCCGCAACTCTGTCGCTGTAATTGTAGAACCAGTTTCTCTGCGAGTTACCTACCTTGTTTTCATCTTGCTTCTCGCTATTGTGCAACTTGGAGTTTTCAGTGCTAACACAAGGGTACGAAGCGGATGTTTAATCATTTAGGCCTGATAACTTTTAATTAATTCATCGCACTATAGTAAGCTTACCGGTATTTTAGTTAATCGTTGAAGAATATAGGCTGGTAGGGCCATAGGCTAATTATTCATTGTTGAATAATAAATAATAGTAATCTTACGACACTGGTTTACTCACTGAGACTTAGACTTAGAGTAGCCCCAGTAGCCTATTTCTATTTTTTAGTAACTTTATATTACTTTGTAACTTTAGTGGCTAAAGTTTAGTCTTAGCTCTAAGTGACTTTACTTTTTTATTACTAAGTAATAAATAATTAGTGGCATTGTTTACATCATCACAACCCTGTGTAGTATGTAGTGTGTAGACATAGTGAACAGGGTTTCTTTCAGCTTTATCTCGGGGGGGGGGGGGAAGAGGGGGGGTAGGGTGCCCCCCCCCCCCCTCCGTGGAAAGCCAAGTGCCCCTCGGAACTAAAAAATGTCCAACAATAAATCAACTGGCACTGCCCCCCTGAAAAATCTGAATTTCTGAAATAATCACTGATAGTGAAGACCAATGACCCAAACTTAAATTTGGCAGAGCCATGGCCATGGATAGGCTTTGAAATTGCACCAGGGACCTGTGCTTGCACTAGTCATGTAAGGCTCGTGAACTGGTGCTGGTCTGCATACCACCATTTGATGTAGATGTAGATGTTACTAACCTTAGTAGTGAGTGTAGTCCAGCCATAAAATCTATTATGATTATATGAATTATGAATATTTATTTATTTGCTGGTGTCGATATAAAATTTTGTTTTTTTTATATTTCAGAACCAGAGAAATATCTTAGATAGCAATACTCTACCATCTAGTCCTACAGGTGCTCTGTCCAGTTGGTTAAATTGTCCTCAAGGTAAAAGAATTTTTTAAACTGTTTTAAAATTTTAATTTGAGGTGTGAAGGCATAGGCTTGTGAATTTTTTATAAAATTTCAATTTCATAATGAAACTGATACTTCATCTCTGTAAATATTTTGTTGCTTTACCTTGCAAATGCAGTTTTGATTAAACATTGAGAATTAAAAAAAAAAGAAGAAAAGAATATCAGTACATAATATTAATATAATAAAGATATGGAGAAGGAACAAAGATAAAGCTAATATTTTTTAAAAAAATTTGATATTTTGTTCTGTGACATTGTTTGAGATAATGTAATATTTCTTTATAACTAAGTCCTATCTTCTTTTGTTTTGTCAGGGTGGACTTTGATTTACAACAGGTGCTATAAATTAACAGATGCTCCATTAACTTGGGAACAGGCACAGGTTGTTTGCAGCAAGTATGCAGAATGAAATAGAACATTCCAAAATCTCAATTCAAAATTGTTTGTTCCTGATGAAAAATTGTTTTATTTTATATTCCTTATCAAAGTTAATCTTTTTTTGTTAGAACGAAGAAAAACCCTAAGCAATTTTGATAGCCTCGATTTAATACTGGGTTTTAAAATGATTTTTTTTTTTGATGGAAATTTTGTGTTTGCTGTAAACTCTTTTATTTTTAAATTTCAGTCATGGCGGAAATCTAGTCAGCATTAATAGTCAGAGTGATCAAATTTTGATAAATGAGTTTGTGAGTAGTTTTCAAGAAAATGGAATTTGGATTGGTGAGTTCCATTATGTCTTTTAGGAATATTTAGTGTATATTTTATAATGTAGCTACATTAAGCAATGAGCTCACATGAAATTTTACCTTAATTAACAAAGCCAATAAAATAGTTGGAGAAAATTATTCATAGTTCATTATTTTGATGAAACGCCAGTCATTATAAATTTCTTCTTCTTTGCCTTTTCAACTCCCAGTCGACCATAGCCCATTAACAATTTCTTTACAACCCTTCCAGGTCTCTAGCTATCCTCTTTAACTTTTTCCAAGTCTTTCCAGTCTTTGTTACATCTTTGTTGACATTTTTGTTGATGTCTTTTACCTTTCATAAATTTACCTTTACTATAAATTTTTGATTACATGAAAACTTATTTATCTAAGATTTACGCTACCCAGGAAGAATAAAAATTAAGTTATTATCCACCAGTAATTTCTTTTTGTCACACAGGGCTTGCACGCTTGGAAAATCAGTCCTTTCAGTGGGCAGGAGGACTACCATCTGTTGAATTTGAAGGGTTTTGGTCCATCAATGGACTTAATACCGCGAATGGTGAGTAATTTCAGCATATTAATCTAATTTCAGGTTCTAAACAGAAGAATTTCGATATGAAAGGTATTAAAATTAATAATAAATAATAATAATAAAGTGTATTTCAAAAACACGCTTCATCCCCAAAGGCTCGAAGCGCGGTACAAGAATAAAAAATCTACAATTTACCACATTTAAAACAAACGCAACACTACAAAAACGAATTACAAGCATACAATGTCAAAGTCTTTCAACCCATTTCAACCGTGAGCAACACAGCTAATATGCATTAAATGGAAAATATGGTAGACAATCATCCCAGAAGGTGTTTGCGAAATAAATGTGTATTTAAATCGGTTTTAAAGGACTCCAGTGTCTGATTGTTTCTGAGATCGACTGGAAGGGCGTTCCAAATTGTTGGACCAGCAAATGCGAAAGTGCGCTTTCCGCAAGTCTCAAAGCGAACACGTGATTTGTGATTTCCCGAATAAAGTACAGGAAACTAACTTGTTCAACTGGTCTTGCTACAGGTGATCCTGCCTTTGAGCATCTGATATAATTAAGTCGTTGATAAGATGCAAATCCCATAGAACCACCATGAGCCTGAAACTTAATAATGTCTAGCTCAAGAATGACGGAGAATACCATGTTCAAGATTAATAATATCATACAATTACATCTCTGGCTCAAGAATGAAGGAGAATACCATGTTCAAGTTTAATAATATCATACAATTACATCTCTGGCTCAAGAATGAAGGAGAATACCATGTTCAAGATTAATAATATCATTTAGTTACAAAGTGTTGAGGGTACTGGTGTTAAGGAAGTGTCTGGAATGTAAAACAATTCTGAATTTAATAGATGTTTAACCTTTCTAAATCACATCATTGCGTTGTTTAGATTTCTGATTATATCCTGCTGGTTGTTTTAGAGCCTGTTTCTTTTTGTATTGAAGAATTCTTTTTATTTTTCAATCTACATTTAATTTAGTTTAGAAATTTCAGTCCTAAAAAGTTTTTTTTTAAAATTCATAACATATGCCTTAACTTAAATTTCTAGAGGAGCAATCTGTCAAGCTATGCAGTTATATGAAGTCCGCATCCCCTGGGAGTAGTGACCTGAGATGGGAATTAGCTGTCTGTGATGAGCTCCATGTGTCCTTGTGTATGGTGGAACCATGTGAGCAGCATGCCCTGCGTTGTGCTGATGGCAGCAAATGTATTAGCAAAGCCTGGATGTGTGACAAACATTGGGACTGTGGTGATGGATCGGATGAATTCAACTGTAACTATGGTGAGAATTTGCAACTTTTTAAAAACATTTATATCAAAGATATATAAACTACTTGAATCCCTGACCCCTTTTCAGTCACATATCCTTTGACCTCACTGTTGTATACAATGTACTTTTGTCCATTGGTAATGTGACAGTTTTCATAATTTATCTATAATCATCAAATAGTCTCTGTGGAATATTCCTACAATGTTTGGAAATCCATGGGCCATTGGTTCATAATAGCTGACCCATCAGATTTCATACTTTTTAAATCACTCCATAAAATAAGACATTTATAACAAATTTCTTTGATCTCCAAACATAAGATCTGATATTAGATTTCTGATTATATCCTGCTAGTTGTTTAATACCCTGTTTCTTTTTCTATTCATGGAACATTTTTTATTTTTCAATATCTATTTAATTTAGTTTAGATATTTCAGTGTTAAAACGTTCTTTTTTTAATGAGAAAAAACAAAAACAAAAAAACTTGAACTCAATGCCAGGTTATTAAGACAAACATTTTATTTTCAATTCAGAAGTTCCATTTAAACTTTGTTTCTTTCAGGGCTGTCCACTTCAGTTCTGTCACACTCTCAACAATGTGGAGCTACACTGAAAGGAGTGACAGGGTCTCTGCAATCACCAAATTTTCCAGACAGTTACCCAGCATTCGCTAATTGTGTTTGGAAAATTGAGATTTTGCCTCCTAAAGTTATTGAGTTAAAAGTAAGTAGTTAGGTTCATCACTTCAAATTTTTTATTGAATATGTTGTGTATTTTTTATTTCGTCATATCCTTTTCCACCCAAAATACTAGTGGCTTTTCAAGTATCAAGATGTACACTTTTATGCAACATTAATTGTAACTGTTTGCTTCCATAGTTTTGTATAATTTATTACATCATAGATTTTGTACAGTATATTATTTGACAATAGGATAGCCCATTTTACTTCTGTATTTTGTTTGCTATTATAGGTTAGAGGTCTTCATAGACTTGCTGGTCTTACAAAATGAACTGATGATATCTGTATTGCCCTCCCTCTCCTCCCCTTTCTTTCAAATTATTTAAATACTTTTACCCAGCTTACTTTTTATACACTTTGTTATTGTGTTTATGTAACAAAAATACAAATAATATTGCATTTAAGTTTAAAAATATCAAGCAAATATAATGTTACGTCTCACACAGCACCTCATTCTAACTATTGATTTTTTAGATACAGAGTCTTGATATTGAAAACCTGTATGACTGGCTTGAGATTTATGACGGCATTGAAATGACAGACGCAACTTTATTAGAGCATTTTGATGAAAGTTTGTCAGAGAAAACAGTCGTGTCAACAGGGAGCTTCGTCTACGTCCACTTTGTTTCAGATCACTCTGTAGAAGCTCAAGGATTTAACATCACATGGAAATCAGGTAAATGAAAGTAAAACATGTTTTGTGTGCTCTCGCCTTCATTTGCTGATATAGTTCAATAGTCATTGAAGCTGTTGAAGAAATTACAAATTTGACCTCATGCCTCTTAAAGCACCTATACAAAATTGTCACAGCAGCTTACCAGTGATGTCTCGTGTAATGGATGGTTTCAGAAAAGAAGCTGGGCTGTTGGAAGTTTATGATTGACCTCTTAATCTGCAAACCTTTAACATGCAGCTAAATTTAAATCACAGTAGACATCACATTGTGAAAGTTATGAAAAAAAGTGACGTCATTATTCAACAACTGGAACATTTTTGTGTGGCTTGTGTCTGATCCTGTAACTTTAAAAAATAAACTAACATTTATACTAAAATACAAATATGTAACTTATAAAATGAGCAAACATTTATAGTTAATAATAAATATTTTAAAAGAATGAGAATGTTATCAGTAGATGTGAGTGAACATAAAACAAGAATGCAGAATGGACAAAAAAAACTTGTCTCATTTTGATATAATCATAAATAAGTTTATATCTAGATAAGAAAAGATAAAATAAGATTCTTTTATTGATCCAAAAAAATGAAATGATTTTTAAAATTAAATTGTGCATTTTCATTTCAGCACATAAATAAATACATGTTTTAGCCAAGACAAAATTTTACAAACAGTATTTCTCTAGCATAAGAATGAGCCATCAATGACCTCCTTTAGTGACAACAATGAATTTTGATTGATCATTTAGATTTGATAGCCGCTGGTGGAACAGGCTGGTAAATTCTTACAGACCGGGACAAAATATAATTTTTATATCTTTGGGTTCTCAATTGATGAGAAAGAATTCGCCTTGACTGAGCTGATCTTAGGTGTATGTGATGAAGAGGGTGGGATGTGTCGTCAAAAATCGTTAAGTTTTACATCAGCATTTTTCTTCAAATAGTTCTTCTAGTGAAGGATTTTTAGTTTGTGTGATATTACTAGCTTCCTTAATTAGTTTATTTAATCGGTGTTTGATATCAGAGTTGAATTCCCACACCACAGGTAATATGAAGTTTAGTAGGCTTTCAATTGTTGCACTGTAGAATAAGTAAATAGCTTGTTTGTTTACGCCGAAATTGTAAAAATTGTTAAAATAGAAATGTCTTTGGTTGAATTTTTTGATACAGAATTTGGCCGTGTTCATGCCAATGTCAGCTTATTAATAATGGTGACACCTAGGTACTTATATTATGTCTCTAATTGCTTTATACTGTGATTTTTTAATTGTGTGATCTGCAATTGGGTGCTTCCCCCTTCCAAAATGAACAACCATTTGAAGGGCTCAAAGGAAAAACCAGTGATGTCAGGTTTTGAGAGTTTTGAGAAAATTGAATTTAAAGTTTGAAAATTCCTCATAAAAGTATGAAAATATCAAGATTTCTACGTATTTATTTATTGACTATGCTGCTTTTTCAGTTGGACATATTATTCTATTAAAAGGAATGTAGCCACAAGGGAGATAACATAGAAATTTTGAAAAACTGACAGCTGGTTTTTCCTTGAACCCTTCATTTCTTTCGTTTTTGAGACATTCAGCTGAAGAGAATTTTCATAACACCAATAGATAAAGCTAAGAATCAACAAGCAAAGACATATTTAATGGTAACCTATGCCAACAATGATGAGCAGCATATCTGACTATGCCATCTTACTGATCCCCAAACTAAATCAAATTTGTTTGCGATTCTTTTACGTTCATGTAGCCTTTTATAAAGTAATATTATTTAAATATATTTATTTATTGCTGCTTATTACATTTTTTTTTCATGTTTGTGACACACAGTTGATTACGACACCCTTTCATGTGGTGGTCATTTGGAAGCTAATGCAACAGAAAAATACCTTAATTTCCCAAGTTCCGATTCAAAAGTGATGCGGCAGAAGACTTGTGACTGGCTTATATCAGCTTCCGAGAGTGACTTTTTACATATACAAGTAAGCTGTGGACCTGACTTTATTTCAGAATGTCTTGCTGCCGCTAAATTACATTTATTTTATATTTAATATTAATGTTCTGAATAGTTTTTGTTTTGAGTTTTAAAAATAATAAACCAAATCACATGTTGTTCCATTCCACAGTTCAGTCCCAACTTGTTACTTTATGGAAAAGATTCTGTAACAATATTTGATGGCCCAAATAATAAGTCCCCAGTGATAACTTACATAAACTCAACTAATGTTGTCCTTGCACCCAGTGAATCTCAACCTTCCAGTGATTTGGCTCATTTTCAACATGTGAACATTCCACCAGTGATTGTGTCATCTTCTAATCAACTGTACATTCATGTCAGCATAGGCAGTGGCAGTGAAAGACCATTCCTCTCATACAAAGATGGTATCTATTTGCCATTAGCATTGTTTAGTTAAAATTTTAGTGTCAATATATATGTAAGTATTTATGATTATAAAGCCTTTCAGATATATATTGTGTTTGTGCATAATAGGAATAATTGTAAAAATACACTGTGTGTAATAGGAATAATTTTTAAAAAACTATGTGTGTTATAGGAATAATTGTAAAAATACACATGTAAGGATACAAATGAGAATTAACATTCTCATTGTGGGATAACCCGTATCCGGAAATTTGATCGAAAGAAATTTCGTCGACGGTAAATTGGTCGACGGTAATATGATCGAACGGAAATTTGGTCGAATCGTCTTTTCAATTTTTACGTAACAATTTTGCATCAAATTTCTTTTTGAACGAATTATTTTGTTTTACTAAATAGTATAGTGCGTTCAAAAAGAAATTTGACGAAAATTTCAACGTGCGAACGGAAAAAAAGATTCAACCAAATTTCCGTTCGATCAAATTACCGTCGATCAATTTACCGTCGACGAAATTTCTTTCGATCAATTTTCCAGTAACCGGGATAACCTTGTATAAACTTTTTTTATAATAAAATTTATAAAAATTTGCATTTTCCTATGAAGTGTAAAAAATTATAATATTTTAATGATTCAATATGCAGTGGTACATACTTAATTATTACAAACTAGAAATTTGAGGCAAAATATAATATTATAGTCTTAAAAACACATTGCCAATTCTAATTTCCATTGCAATGAAGACAAAAGTCAAACTTTAATTAAAAATATATACCAATATGAGGCTGTAACTGTAACAAAATAAAGTCAAACAATGAATGTTACTACGTTCTTCTAATGTGTTAGCTGGAATTTTCAATATGGCGACTTCAGAACCAATTTTACTTGCATGTTGACAATTTGATACAGATAACTACAAGGGTTAACATCTTAAAACATGAATGTCTTTTGTCTGTTTTGAAATTAATGTTTAATGGAGCTTGTAAAGTTATGTAAGGTTTCTTTATTTATGACTTATGTTTCTCTTCACATATTTTATTTCCTTTCAAATCAACAGGTTGTGAAGTTCTCATTTCATCAGATTCATCTTTTATCCTCTCCCCTGGCTTCATAAACTCTCAGTACTCCGACAATCTCAAATGTACATGGACAGTTCCTAAGCATGGCTCAGGCAAAAACCAAACCCTAATTTTTTTGCCTGGTTTTCAGACTGAATGTAACAAAGATTATGTCCAGGTAAGTACTGCATAATTCACAATTAACATATTTTGTGCCACCTTATTGATGGGTAAGTGGGTTATTATTAGTTTTTGACAAGTGGTATTTATAAACCTGAAAAAAAAAAAAAATTTGATGTGTTTGTTGTCACCACTGAGCTAAGATTAACTGGTCATAGTTTGTATTTCATGATCTCAATAGGAAAAAAAATTATATTGTATCAACTCAAATATTTAAAAAAAAAAAAAAAGCATATCACTATGAATAGGTTCATGTTTATATCTTGACCAATTAAAAGATATTTTTACTGGGAAGATAGAAGATCTGTGTATTGTAATAGTCATTGATATGTTTTAAGTACACCCTTTTCATCTTTCATTTTTACAGGTGCAAACCTCATCCTCCCTTCTAGTCAATGTGTCAGGCTGTTCAGCTATACCATCAGGAATCTTGTCTAATGATGGATTTTTCATAAGCTTCCACTCTGATTCAACTGTAAATCATGGTCGCTGGGCGGCTGTTATATCTTATGGTATGGATAGCTCCTGCCCAGAGTGTGTTGAACGCAAAACAAATAATTTCCAGTGTATAACCTTTCAGAAAGCATTTGCTAATAAACACACCCATAATTTAAGCAATTTAAAATTCATGTTTGCTTATCTAGTATTCTTGTTCCTTCTATCTATTGTATGAAAGTACTTTGTGTCATTGGGTCAAAATCCCAGAATCCCAGAAATACAATTTAAAGATGGAAGTGTTTTAATTTACAAGTACTGTATACACTCGTTATAAAGCCCATTTGTTCATAACCCACCCTCTGACCCACCTAGATTTGTTCGTAAGCCCACCCCCTGACTCACCAAGATTTAGCCGGGTAAAGCCTAAAAATTGTATAACCCACATTTTAGTGGACCTAATGTTGTTCATTAGCCCACCTAGATTTGGCCAGGAAAAGCCTAAGCTGTCCATTACCAACTTTCAAGTGGACCATAAAATGATAGGCCGATGTAAGCAATATGGTACTTAAGATAATAATATTTTAAAAGAGAATACAGACTTTAAAAAAAATATTTTTTAGTAAGTAAATGGCTTATAGCAGACCTGTTTACTCTTACAATTTTGAGATGTATACATTCTATTTACCATATTTTTATTTTTTTACTATTGAGATAATGTATTGAACGATTTTGTGATGATAGTGTACGATTTTAAGAGTCTGAGGGTAAACAGGTCTGTTGTAGGTCAGGTGCTGGTACCAAACCATATCAAAATTAGGGTTGCTGTGACCATTCTAAAAACAGATTTGAACTACTGCTACTATAGTATAAAATTTGATGATCTGAAATTTC